CGGGAAGGTGGTCCATGGAGCTAAGCACTGCTGGGGGATGCTTTCTCCCCGCTGGGGAGGAGTGGGGTTGGCTCCTCCAGCTTCTCTACACTCAGCAAGGAGCCAGGAGAGCTGGGAATGCAGAGGGGGTGGCACCGTGGGCTGATCCAGCTTGGAAGGCGCAGAGGAAGAGTTTAACCCCCTTTAGCCCTGCAGGAGGAGCGTGAGGCGCTGGAACAACTCCGCTTTGTTTGAAGGAAAATAAACAAACCCTGCACATGACAAAGCTTAGCTTTCCAACCGGGAAAGCTGCAAGGGAGGGTTCCCGGGGCTGCCGGAGAGCCCGTGGGAGCAGCACATGCTCTGCCTGGCCACAGCTCCCCGGAGAAAGATGTCACGCTCCTGTGAGCACCCGTGGCATCACCGTGGGATATTCAGGGGCTTCCCTCCCACTCCAGGGTGTCTGTAGGGGCTGAGATCCTGTTCTGCAAGGAAGGCTGCTCGGTGGCCGTGGACACAGGGGCCTCCTACATCACCGGCCCCGCCGGGCCCGTGTCCGTGCTCATGAAAGCCATCGGGGCGGCCGAGATGGCCGAGGGAGAGGTGAGTTCCCCCCACACCTGTACCCCAGTCCATCCCTGCCCCAGGGAGTGGGCTCAGGGCCACCTCCTCCTCCCACAGTACGTGGTGGACTGTGACCAGGTGCCTCAGCTGCCCAACATCTCCTTCCACCTGGGCGGGAAGGTCTACGCGCTCAGCGGCTCAGCCTACGTCCTCCGGGTAAGCTGCGCCCTCCTGGCTCCCCTAAAGCAGCCAAAATGAGCCCCAGAATGATGCTCCTTGATTTCCCCAAACCCTCTTGTTGGGCAGAGGTGTCCACATGAGCCAGAGCAACCTCTGGCTGCTCCCTTGGGTGGTTCTGGGGAGATTTGGGGTGAGCAGCAAAGAGCAGACACAGGCAGGGATCCTCCTCCAGGAGGTTGGGTTTTAAGAAGAGGTTCTTCCCCCAGTGGGTGGTCAGGCACTGGAATGGGTTCTCCAGGGCAGTGGTCACAGCACCAAGAGTTCATGGAGTGTTTGGACAGTGTTCCCAGGCCCATGGTGTGACTCTTGGGGATGGTCCCATGCAGGGTTAAGAGTTAGACTCGATGATCCTTGTGGGACTCTTCCAACTCAGCATGTTCTGTGATTCTGTGATTTTTGGGGTTGTCCTGTGGAGGGCCAGGAGCTGGACTAGATGATCCGGAGTATCCTGAGCTGGAATATCCCTTCCAGCTGGAATATCCCTTCCAGCTGGAATATCCCTCCCAGCTCAGGATATTCTGTGATTCCATGAGGAAGGAACACCGTGGCCAAGCAGAGGGTGTGGAGCTGGGGGTCCGTCCCTCCCTTGGGATCTCCCTCCTGGCACCCCCATCACCACTGGGGTCTCCCTTTTGCAGCAGTCCCAGTACGGGGAGGACATCTGCGTGGTGGCTTTCTCAGGGCTGGACGTCCCACCCCCAGCTGGTCCCCTCTGGATCCTGGGTGCCAGCTTCATCGGGCACTACTACACCAAATTCGACCGGCGCAACAACCGCATCGGCTTCGCCACGGCCCGCTGAGCCCAGGGGGCTGGGAGAGGATGGGGGGAACCAGCCTGGAGGCAGGAGAACCACAGGGAAGCAGCGACTTGGAGTGCAAAAGAGAACAGCAGTTCCCTTCCCGCTCAGCCACCTCCTCTCTCTTCACTGAAGCAACTGCAGTCCTTGCCTTCTCCCACTCCCAAACCCCCACGCCTCTTCCCGGGAGCCTCTGCTGCAAAGGGAGGGCTGAGCCTGAAGAACATCATCCTGGTGAGTGCTCAGCCTGGGAATCCAAGCGGGATCCTGCATCCGGAGCTGCTCCTCCAGGGACTTTCAGGATGATGTGCAGTGGTACAACCAGCACACAGGGGGTTGCTGCTGGTGTGGAGGGGCCCGCAGGCTGAGCAGGGATCATCTGTTACCAGTCCCTGTGATTCTTTAATTGGAAGGAAAATAATCTGTGTTTAATGATAGTTTTAGCTGGTGTTAACCCTACCCCTCCCCATGACTTTGATATTAAACAACGTAGAGCAACAGGACACTGAGTGGAGGCTTGTTCTTGCAGAGGGGAGAGGTCAGACACCTTCATGAAGGGAACTGCACAGCCAATGTTCCCCTGCCAGGACCCAGCGCTGCGTTTATGTCCCTCCACTTCATAGGAGTGCAGCACCCTCCCAGCCACTGCCACAGCAGCCACCTGTAGGCAAATCAGGGGCTTTGCCAACAGCAAACAAGCTCTTTCTGCAGGAGATGAGATGCTGTGCAGGCTGCTCAAGCCTCAACCCGCCTTCCCAGGGGGGTCAGGACCACTGGTTGCACCTCTGGGGACAGGGACAGGGCTGGACATGGCTCCTTGGTCTGTGTCCCACCAGGAAGGCAGCTCTGCTGCCCCTGAGCCTGTTTTTATGGCCATGCTGGCTCCAGCCAACAACCAGAGGCTTGTCTCTGCCCTGGCTGTGTGCAGAGATCCCCCTGGAGCTGCCAGCCCAGTGCCAGCTGGCCTGGAAGGAGGGACAGACCAGTGCTCCCAGCTGGGGGCTGACATTTCCAGTTCTGCGGGAGAGCTGCAGCACTTCCAGCTCCAGCCCAGCAGCTGCAAATCCAAGTGCTGCCCAAATCCAAGGGCTGTGCAGTGCTCTCCCACCTCCCCCCCCGTTTGACCAGTTCAGGTGCTGTGAGGGCCGTGTCCACAGCTGAGTGCTGGGAAAGGTGCCTGGAAAGGGGAGTTTGGGCTCCTGAGCAGGGCCTGGAGTGAGTCAGTGTCTCCCCATGGGAGTGCAGCCCCTCACAGAAGCTTCTCACCCTCCTTTCTGCAGCCAGCAGTGATTGCTGATGAGTTCCCAGTGCTGATGAGTTCCCAGAGCTGCCTCTCAGCTGCAGGGATGTTTGGGAGAGGGATGGCACCAAAGCAGTGGCTGCTGTGTGACCTTTCCAGCCAGGTATGCTGCAGCCTCTGCTCTGTTCCCATCCCTCCCTCCATGGATCCTCATTCCCTGCCCTGCCCCACGGCAGTCTTGGAGCGGAGAGGATGTGGCTGAGCGGATGTTTGTCCCTCCTGGGGGAGCCTCTGTAGCATTTAAACCTCTTAATGTTGGGATGCACGACCCTGGGTCTCCAGAGATGGGAAATTCAATGTACCCAAACGTGTGATGTGTTTCTTCCCATCCCCTTTGCAGCGCTGCTCCATCACGGGGGCGAGGGGAGTGGTGGCAGCTCCTCTTGGGGGCCTGGGAGTGCAGGGAAGGGGCCCCAGCAGCCACAGTATCTCCCTTTCATCCAGCATTTCCTGAGCTCCAGGCAGCTGCTCATCAGCACAGGAAACCCCAGGAGCCGGGAGTGGTGGCAGCCCAGGCAGGGAGGGGTGGGAGGGAGGGCAGAGCTGCCTGGAGACCCTCGGGAAGGGGGGATCTGCTCAGGTCAGCGCTGGAGCCACAGCCCGGCCTCTCCACAACCTCCTGGATGTACAGAGATGGTGGAAAGAGCCTCCCTCTCCTTCCTACCACAGGGAAGCTCCACTTGGAAATAACTAAGCCTCCTCTGCCCTCCTCTACACCACAAAGGCTCTGGTGTGGAGAAGACTGCAGTGGATGTGAGCTTGTAAATGTGCCGGGTGACTTCAGCCCCCACGCTGGCTTCTGCCAGAGCCCTCAGCTGGAAAACGCTCAGGCTGGCCTGAAATAGGATGTTTTTGTGGATCCAGTTCTATTCCTATTCAGCGCGGTTGTTTCAAGCAGCAGGAGGAAAAACGCCGGGGCCGCTTGTGGTGCTGCTCCGCGGCCCCTGAAGCCAGGCCATTAACACCTCTAATCGCCTGCTCCGGGGGCAATTTCCCGGTGGAAGCGGCAGCCCTGGCTGCGAGGCACCACTAACCCGCCACGGCCCGGATTAGATCGTTCCGGGAGAGCAATTAGGCCACGCTCAGCCCAGCAAAGCGCGGGAGCAATTATGCCCATCCTATTAACACTGACAGAGCTCGCTCTATATTTAGAAACACGGGACCCGGCTGGTGGATTTTTTTCCCCCCCTTCCTTAAATGATTTTCCCCAGGTCTCCATGGTCCATTTAGCTGATTTCAGCCGCAGCCAGCTGTAAACTTTGGAGGGGGCATTCTCTGCTCCCAGCCGTGTGCTGCTGTCATTTCCTCTGATAATGAAGCCGGGTTGGAGCCGTGTCCAGGGGCTGCGGGGGCTCTGCCACTGGGCGAGTTCTGCTTTATCTTTACCCACCAAACCCCTCCCCAGCCCAGCTGTAAACCCCCTTGGGAGGTCAGCACTTGGTGGGCAGGATGGCAGCAGGGCTGGAGAGGTTATCCCGAGGGGACACATCCCGCCTGGAGTCCTGGGTGCTGCCAGCTCCTCTCGTGCGTGGCATCCTCATCCTTTTTATTCCCAAAGGGATGGAGCAGGGGGATGTGCAGAGCTCCCGGGATGGCTGAGGGGCTCACGGGATGGACGGGGAGGCACTGAGGTGGAGAGCACCGGCTGCATCCCGGTCCCCTGGGATGACTTAGGGGTTCCGGGAATGGATGGGGGAGACATCCGGGATGAAGGCAGCAGGGTCCCGGAATGCCGCTGAGGACCCCCTGGGATGGCTGAGGGGCTCCGGGGATGGTTGTGGAGGGCACCGGCAGCAGGTGCGGCCGTCCCGATCCCGGCCGGGGGTGGATCGGGGGTGGGTGCGCTGCCCGGGATCCCGGTGCGGGCGGGATGCGGGTCCGCGGCCGGGTCCCGGTGTGGAGCGGGTGAGATGTGAATCCGCCGGCGGGTCCCGGCGCGGGTGGGATGCGGATCCACTGCCAGGGTCCCGGTGCGAGTGGGGTGCGGGTCCCGGTGCGGGTGGGGTGCGGGTCCGCTGCCAGGGTCCCGGTGCGGGTGGGATGCGGGTCCGCCGGCGGGTCCCGGTGCGGGCGGGCGCTGCCGCTGGCGGGGAGGCGGGCGGGAGGCGGGCCGGTGACTCATGGCTTCCCAACGGCGGGCGGCTCCTCCCCGCGCAGCCCCCGGCACATGGGCCGCGGCTCCGGCAGCGCGGAGCTGGCCATGGCCGCACCGCCCGCCCGCTGCCCCGACTGCCCGGGGCCGGGGCCGGAGCGGGGGGGCGGCGGCGGGACCCCCGCCGTGCCCCACCTCGGCATTGCGGTGGACGAGCGTGACGTGCTGCCCGGGGCGCTGCGGATCGTGCGGGAGATGAGACCCGGCTGGGGGCCGGCCAGGGGGAGGACCACGGGGGGGGGGGGAGGGGGGAAAACCCCGCGCAGAGGCCCCCCCCCCCCCCACCCTGAGAACCGACCGCCGCACCCCCCGCGGGGGTCGCCCAGGGGGGCTGCAGAGCCCGGCCGGGGCGGCGGGTACGGGGTTATAGGGTCCCCCGAGATTATAGGGGTTCACCCGGGGGCGGCTCTGGTGCTCACCCTGGGGGGTCTGTGGGGTTCAACCCTGAGGGGTTACAGGGTCTACCCGAGGGGCGCTGTAGGGATCATGCAAGGGAGGCTGCAGGGTTCACCCAAGGGGGTCTGTAGGGTACACCCAAGGGGGTCTGTAGGGTAC